ACAACACAACAGTAAAAGCTTATTTGTATGAGAACACTGGTACCTCCAAAGATGTAACTTTATTACACTACTTTCTGTAGATAAGTGAACTTACCTAGCAGCTAAGCTCACTTAAGAACAATAATAACTTAACGTCCACTGACTCAAATCCCTTTTGGGATCATTCCTGCGGCCACTGAATAGGCATTTCGTTGGTGGTTCGCCAACAGATAAGGGCCTATTGTGTCCTGTTCTGTCCCTTAATTCATTTAATAAATATACGTTACTGTGTCGTAATAGTAAAGTTGCCTGTGTATATACGGTGATGGCATGCTAGCGTTGCCGTCGTTGTGATATTTAGCATTACGTTAGCAGGCATAACTTCATGACTGATAATTGGTACTTACATTTATATTCAGTCTCCGCCGCTGTCGAAATACTGCGCTTTGCCATTTCTCTGACTGTAAATATTGACCTGCCACTTTGCATTCTGGGAGACAGTACGCGAGGTAGACTGGTCCGATGCATACTGTACATTTTTCCCAAATCAGTATGACATCCTGGTATTTTTGGCATACTGTGGATCTCGCAGTTGTTCACATACTGCATACTGCATACTGCATTTTGGCCAAATCAGTACGTACTAGTATTGTACACGGTTTTGAAAAGAGCCATAGTGTTTGCTTTAGAATGTTTGGTTTGCTTTAGATTAGCTTGTAATAGCTGTTGTTGATTGAGTTTAATTGATTTTGATTGATGTGGCTTTGTTAATTAAACTGTTAGAATTGAAGAAAGCAGTTGTTGGTGATTACTTGTGTATATGCATTGTAATACAGCTGGGTGCGAGGGCTAATGTACAGATTCACGCCTTCCATTTATTGCTAAAGGCAATTCTGCAATAGTGCTCGGGCATGGTACGAAAAAATCATGCCTTATATGAAAACGCCCTCAGAACTATGCATAATTAAGGGCGTGGCACTTTTTACTGACAGGAGGGCACTTGTAGGTTTTTTTGCTAAGAGGCTAAAGGCCCCCACAATTCCACCTCTTAGCCGGTTCCTATGATGACCAAAAGTTTGAGACAGCATCTCCAATATATCGACAGCAACTGTTTGGATTCAAAACTCCATCTCAGAAAGTAATGGGTGACGCATTTTCATTTCATGAATTAAAAATAACTGGTGGTATTTCTTGTAAACGCTGAGTGTTGGTGTTAGCAGAGTTTGTTGCAGGAGGACTGGATATTCAAGGTGTACAAGATTCTTGAAAACAAAAAGAGTTGATCAAGGGCGTGAATCACTTTATCGCTGCTGGGAGGGGTGAACATGGTGAGGCTCTGTGCATTTATAAGAAGTGTTGTCACATACAGACTTCTTCTTCAGCTTACAAACACACCAGCTACTCTCTCCAGCACCCAACTTTGGCTGTCAATAAAGGTAAGTCAGTAGATTTAATTTATAAAGTAGCATACACCTTGTATCTAAGTTTATGTTTATAGAGGGACCATTAAATGATTCATAATGCACAAATATTAAACCGTTCTAAAGGGGCTACAATGGAAAAATATATTTCTCAAAACATCAGAATTTCTAACAGGCTGGGGGATGAAATCCAAAACTCAGTTTGCCTGCATCTCTAACGTAGACAATCTTCTCTGATATGAATTTAATGGGAACATTAATGGAAACATCTGCAGTATGATTCAACAGCATGAAGTGTCCAAAACTAACCTGTGACGCTCTCTCAAAGAATTTTAACCAGAACTTATCATCTTAAAAAAAAGAGGGATTTATTGTATTAGACTGGATTTGTGTAACTTAAGCAGTTTCCTCGTTACCCTCCTAATAATTGCTTATTGATAGAAAGTTATGAAGTTGTTGAGCTATGAATTATGAATTATGAGCAAGCGGCCCGCGAGTGGTTGCCATTGTTGCTTCTTCTTTCTGCTTTTTGGCAGATTTGCGAACCAGCTATGTCAAGTGCAAACTGCTGTATCGGACTGTGTTCATACACAAGTGTACTCGAGCATGGAGCAATGTTACTGATGTGAACACAGACCAGCTGGGAAGAGGGGAGGGGGGAGCAATAGTGCTCGGGCATGGTACGAAGAAATTGTGCCTTTTGGGAAAACGCCCTTAAAGATTCGCAGGATTGAGGACGTGGCTCGTTTGACTGGCAGGAGGGCACTCGTTTTTTTCTTGGAGGCTAAAGGCCCAAACAATTCCACCTCTTTGCCTGTTGCTATGGTGACCAAAAGTTAGATTGAGACAGCATCTCCAATATATGGGCTGCAATCGTTTGGCTTCAAAACTCCCCTTCAGAAAGTAATGCGCATTTTTCATTTCATGAATTAAAATAACTGGTGGTATTTCTTGTAAACGCTGAGTGGAGGTGTGAGCAGAGTTTGTTGCAGGAGGACTGGATATTCAAGGTGTGCAAGATTCTTGAAAACAAAGGAGGCAATCGAGGCCAAGGGCATAAATCATTTTTAGGTTTTGACTTGAATCATATGATCATGCAGAGTTAATGGGAAAAAGAGATAGCAGAGCAACTGAAGGCGACTGTAGAGAAGACACTTGAGATGAGATGAGATGAGATTCAACTTTATTGTCATTACACATATACAAGTATAGAGTAACGAAATGAGGTTTGGCATCTCACCAGAAGTGCAAATTAGCAGAAAGTGCAAGAGTCTGTGCTATGTACAGTAATTCTGTGCTATGTACAGTAATTCTGTGCTATGTACAGTAATTGCAAAATTTACAGATGTAGACAAAAAAAGTGAATTATGAGGTATATCTGGATGGCTGGATTAATGGGATGCAATAGATATAAATAAATGCTATAAATAAGTAATGTTACAAAATAAGTGTGTTCTTAGGATTATAATATACAGATTAAGATGCAGTGAGCATGCTATACTAGTTTACAGATAATATAAAGAATATGGACATAATATGAACATACTATAATACAATAATACAGATGGATGAGAGATGTGTGTGTGTGACCAGGAGGAGTGGTGGGGGGATGATGGGTGTGAGGTGATATGGAGGGGAAAGGGGGGTCAGCAGGGTGCGGAGAGAGAGAGGGAGAGAGAGAGAGAGACAGAGTTCAGAGTTCGGGGGGTAGAGTTCAGTAGAGAGACAGCTCTGGGGAAAAAGCTGTTCCTAAGTCTGCTGGTTCTGGTCGGAGGCTTCTGAAGCGCCTGCCGGAGGGCAGGAGGGTAAACAGTCTGTGGGCAGGGTGGGAGGAGTCTTTAAGGATGCCGTGAGCTCGCCGCAGACAGCGTGTTCTTTGGACATCCTCAATGGCAGGAAGTGGACACCTTGTGATGCGCTGGGCGGTTTTTACCACCCGCTGTAGCGCCTTACGGTCTGCGACAGAGCAGTTTCCGTACCAGACTGAGACACTGCTGGTCAGGATGCTCTCGATCACACAGCGGTAGAAGTTCATCAGTACAGCTGAAGACAGGTGGTGTCTCTTCAATGTCCTCAGGAAAAAGAGGCGTTGATGAGCCTTCTTAACCAGACTGGAGGTGTTAGTGGACAGGAGAGGTCCTCTGTGATGTGGGTCCCCAGGAACTTGAAGCTGGAGACACGTTCAACAGCCATCCCGTTGATGTGAATGGGGTTGTGCGTGCTTCCTCTTTCTCTCCTGAAGTCCACGATGATCTCCTTCGTCTTGCTGGTGTTGAGGAGCAGGTTGTTGTCAGCACACCAGGCGGCCAGATGCTGTACCTCCTCCCTGTAGGCCGTGTCGTCGTTGTTGCTGATGAGGCCAATCACCGCTGTATCGTCCGCAAACTTGATGATGGTGTTGGATCCATGTACAGGTCTGCAGTCGTGGGTGAAGAGGGAGTAGAGGAATGGGCTCAGCACACAGCCCTGTGGTACGCCTGTGTTGAGTGTGATGGTGGTGGAGCAGGTGTGTCCTGACCTCACATACTGGGGTCTGTTGGTCAGAAAGTCCATTATCCAGTAACGGAGGGAGGTGTTGAAGCCCAGGTCTCCGAGTTTAGTGTTTAACTTGGAGGGGATGACAGAGTTGAATGCTGAGCTAAAATCAACAAACAGCATTCGTGCGTATGTGTTGTTATTGTCCAGATGAGTGAGCACAGAGTGCAGCGCAGTGGAGACTGCATCCTCTGTACTCCTATTGCTGCGGTAGGCAAACTGGAATGGGTCCAGTGTGGGTGGGAGGCAGTTTTTCAGGTGTGCTAGGACCAGTCGCTCAAAACACTTCATTCACTTACAGCTAATTCAGGCTCAATTATAGAATTTAAAGCAACATGGAGGAATTTGGGGCTGCAAAGGGGTGCCTGTTCGATGGCCATGTCTGGCTCATGTATTTGAAAAACAATTTATGAAAATTAACAATTATAAAAAAAATATATATATATAAATAATTAACTTAAATTGAATGAACCTAAATAAATAAGCATATCATAGATAAAATTAGCCAGTACCGATAGTCACATGATATGCTAAAATCGGCCGATATTATCGTCTGACAGATTTATTGATCTGGACTTGACTATAAAGCTCTCAATGACGACAGCCAGTATGCTACTAATGAACCTGCTAATAAGCAACTGGCTAATGGTGATTATTGTGACCTTAATTTAAAGTGTTACCGATGCTACAAACCCCGAGTGGCTTTCTTTGCATTTTAATTTGGAACATTTCCTTTTTTTAGGTTTAAAGTGTGACCCTGAAACATTTAGAAGATCCTGTGTGTTGCTGCTCTGTTGAGTTAGTTTGTAAAGTTTGTAAAGTTAAACAAAAAGTGTTAACTATTTTTCAGTAGAAATAATAAAATAATCATTTAGAGCTAGCTAGACAATATCCTCTGGGCCCGTTTGGTCAAAGTTAATCCAACAGGATTAAAGTTATCAGATGAGTTTTTCTTGAATCTAAAATCTGGTTGTTCAAAAAAACAAAACAAAAATAACGGGATAATTGTATAACATCAGGTTTGGATAATCGAAGTTGTTCTTTCTTTTTTTTCCATCCAATCAGAAACAACCATGTACAACAATGAAGAGATCCGGATCGTGATGGTGGGGAAGACCGGAGCTGGGAAGAGCGCCACAGGAAACACCATCCTGGGAAAGAAAGAATTTATATCAAGGTTCTCCTTTAACTCTGTGACCTCAGGCTGTGCTAAGGTGTATGGTGAGCTGGATAGACAGAAGGTTTCTGTCATCGACACTCCAGGTCTGTTTGACACTGATACTGATGAGGAGACGACACGTAAAAATATCTCCCAGTGTATGGCTTATGCTTGTCCTGGACCACATATCTTTCTGATTATCATCAAACTGGGCCGACTCACAGAAGAAGAAAAGAAGACGGTGGAGAAGATTCAGCAAATCTTTGGAGAGGAAGCAAACAAATACAGCATGGTTCTCTTTACCCATGGTGACCAGCTCAGAGGGCAACCTATCAAGGAGATCTTGAAGGAAAGCAAAGACCTGCAGGAGCTTGTGACCAAATGTAACGACCAGTACTACGTCTTTGATAACAACCTCTCTGATAGTTCCCAGAGCAGAGAGCTGCTCAACAAGATCAGAAAGATAACAGAAAAGAACACAGGAAACCATTACACCACTGAGATGTTTCAGGAGGCAGAGAGGGCGATTGAAGAGGAGCAACAGAGAATCCTGAAAGAGAAAGAAGAGGAAATGAGGAAAGAGAGGAAGGAACTAATGAGGAAAATAGTGGAAAAATTTGAGCAAAGAATAAAGGAAGCGAAGGAAGACGCGGAGAAGGAGAAACAGCGAATCCTGAAAGAGAATGAAAAGCAAAAGTGCAAAGAGGAGGAACTAAAGAGGAAAATAAAAGAAAAACATGAGAAAGAACTAAAGGAAGCAGAGGAAGACACTAAGAAGGAGAAACAGAGAATCCTGAAAGAGAAAGAAGAGGAAATGAGGAAAGAGAGGGAGGAAGTGGAGAGGAAAATAAAAGAAAAACATGAGAAAGAATTGAAGGAAGCAGAGGAAGACACTAAGAAGGAGAAACAGAGAATCCTGAAAGAGAAAGAAGAGGAAATGAGGAAAGAGAGGAAGGAAGTAAAGAGGAAAATAGAGAAGAAATATGAGCAAAAGTTAAAGAAAGTGGAGGAAGATGCCAAGAAGAAGAATCAGAGAATCCAGAAAGAGAATGAAGAGCAAAAGTGCAAATTCAAGGAGGAACTGGAGAGGAAAATAAAAGAAAAACATGAGAAAGTATTAAAGGAAGCGGAGGAAGCGAAGGAAAAAGAACTAGAAGAGAAAATGAAAGCACTGGAGGAAGAACAGGAAGAGAAGGCCAGAAGAGAGGCAGAGAAGAGCCCTTCAGTGCTCGCAAAGATTGGTCGTGGACTTGCGGTGGTGGGGGCTGTTGGGGCTGTGGGGGCTGTGGGGGCTGTTGGGGCTGGGTTGGTTTTGGGGGCTGTGGTGTTATTTAAAAAATAACTACAGCTCATTGTATCCGACCTGATGTACACTATAATGTCAGTGTTTAAAACTGATCTGTTGTTTCTCAAGTTCCTCTCGCCTTTTGTGGCCGTGTGGCTCGCTTTACTTTGGTTCACCTTCTATTGTTATCATTTCAAACACATAAACTAAGAACATTTTTGAAACACATGACTCACAAAAGTGCCTCCAACCAAAGCTGTAGTATCCTCCAAGGTATAGAGAAGAAGCCCTGCAGCCCGTCTATGCTATGGTTGGATGGAGCGGAGAGGAAATTAAAAAAAGGACGATTTTTATTTTCATCCACAAAATGTCATCAAAAATATAAAAGTTGTGAAAGTATGTAATGTTGAAAGATCAGAGTTATGCAATTGATGAATTTGTTTTTACCCGATGTGTTCTTTTCTTTTATTATCATTTAATCCATTTATCATTTAACTCATATGTCATATAGTCAGAACTACTTTCTTTGCTTTTACATATCCTGTCAATCATGCCACGGCGCCTACGCACCTGTGAGGTCAGAACAAGTGTGCCATGCTTTGAGCAAAACCACATACAAACTCGTGGGTGTATAACGCTTCTGCGAATCTGCCTGGTTCACGGTCTTCAAGCTAAAACCACATATGAACTTGGTATCACCTGCGGATGTATCACGCGTCTGCTAATCTGCATTGTTGAGGTTTTACAGAATCTTGGAGAAAAGAGACAGTTTGGCTATAAAAGTGCTGTGGAAAAGCTTTAGTTCTTCTAAAGGGCTCCACATCACTCTGACTTTTAAATCCCCGTTTTGGGACTTAGTCTCTGAGACCGAGATCTTTTAAAACCTCAAGTGTCTACTCTCTGGAGTTTAAGCTTTTAAATTTGTATTTTACTTTTTACATTTTTATATTTTTACTTTTACTGTTTTGTATTTGCATTTGGAATATCTTTTGAAGTTATTTCAATAAATTTTCTGAAGCTTTTTGAAATCATTTTCTGACTGAAATCATTCACACCACTAAGACCTGAGCCTCTCTTAAGGACGCCGCGTGAACCTCGGGAGGTAAGCATGAGCAGTCACACCACGGCACACTTCTACTCTCCGAGTGAGGAGGGTTGCAGTTAATCCCTCTCCGGGGGTGAGAGCCTCCGGGGGCTAATCTAGGGTCCTGAATCAAGGATTATACTTGAATCTAATGATTCTAGAAATGAATGTGAGACAGATAATCCTAGAGCTATGCGGTTATATAAGTCTTCTCTTCTCGACAGGGTGTTAGCGGAGTAATTTTACATAGCTCCAGTACTAGGAAAGAGTAGACTAGCAGCTGGTAGGGAGCGAGCCCTCACATAGTTCTAGGAAAGTTTTCTGTCCCACCCATGAAAATTAAAATTATTTGTGCAAAAAATCCCAAAACACACCAGTTATTGTGTAAATTGTATGTGTCCTGAGACAACATGTAAAGAGAGTTGTGGTGAAAGTGGTTTTAAAAACCAAATATCTCCCAAGCACCCCTAAAAGTGGCTGTATTCTCTTGTCCCACCCTCTCAATGGCCAGCTTTAATATCAAATGTAACAGTTAAAATATGTTTTTAAGTTTACTTTTTTTTTACATGATTTTATTAATATATTTCTCTTGTAATTGCTGATACTGTTTGTTTAACCATGAACATATTTTTAATAATAGTAATTATGCCTCAAGGTTGTGTCCCACAACATGCGTGCAACCCTGTTACCAAAACAATTTAAGCAATGCAGAAGAAGACTAAGAACAGGAAACAACATGATTCAGCAGAAATGACATCTTTAAGCTACATGCTAACACCATGGCTAGACCAAATTTAAGTGCTCGCTTCTATTTTTCACATTCTCAGTCTAAATTGAGTGTGTCACTGAAACCAACTCAACCCTGTTACTGATTTGATCAGAATAAGACAATTTTCTTTTTATTCTTTATATATCTTAGATTGTCCTTTGCCAGCTAGCATAACTGCTAGTACAGGTAGCATCTACCAGTAAGAAAAAGTTTGAGCATTAGCACAGATTTACAACCCTGTTACTAAAATAAGAGCAACAGGCTTTTTACAGAGTTCTTTTACACCTATTGTGAAACCTTTAAAATAATATCACCAATGTTCCTGTTATCCTGTGTTTATTTATTACATTTATGTCTTGACTTATAGTCTAAAGTAATGTATCCATTCACCCCTGTTACTCTTTGACCCTGTTACCATGTCATTTTTTATCAAAATAATCTTAAATGATTTTCTTAAATCAGTATTCAATGTAAATGTGCCTCTGTTTATTTAATGTGAAGGGTTTTTTAAGCAATATTTAAAAATACACGTTTTACAGGTTCCTGAGTATCTGTAACAGAGTTGCACCAAACGCAGCACAAAACAAAGAAAACACCGAATAAAAAATGTGTCTTTGATGCCTGAGCTGGACGAATCACATTATTTGATGGTTTATTACTTGTGTTTTTTTAAATATTTAACAGAAATTTGGAAAACAAATGTTAATTTTTTCAAAAGTTTTGATGGCTAAATTGTCCTCCAATTCTGGAATGACCAAGTTAACTAATGGGTGGTGAGCTTCTGTTATAGGTAAAGTTATTCACACCTTTATGCATGTCCAGACATGTAACAATAATAAACCCAAGTAATTTCAGTAAGGAGACATAATTCTCTATGAATATTTAAAGTTGCATGTCACATATGATACTTATTTAAACTATCATCTCCGTGCTCTTAAATTACCCTTTTTTAACAGTTGGTAGATAAATAAAATAAACATTGTTTAAATAAAATCCACATCGTTTGCTTTAAAAGAAAGCTTATCAACTCTGGTTGTGAAAAAACCCTGTGTTACTATATTTTAGCAAAATATAACACACTACATACCTCAACCTTAAATAATACTTCAAATATACTTAGATCCATCCATGGCTCCAACATAAAAGTTGTCTAAGGAATCTTTTACTTTTACTGTTTTTGTATTTGCATTTGGAATATCATTTGAAATTTTTAAAATAAATTTTCGGAAACTTTTTGAAATCATTTTCTGACTGAAATCATTTACACCACAAAAGACCGGAGTCTCCCTTAAGGACCCCGTGAACCTTGGAAGGTAAGTAGTGAGCAGTCACACCACGGCACACTTGTCTTACTGATTTATAACACACGCTTCATACACACCTAACATCCTAGTGAGGGGAGTTCACAGTTATTCCCTCTCTGGGGGGGTAATCTAGAGTCCTATACCAGGGGTTATCCTTGAATCTAATTATTCTAGAAATGAATGTTAGGCAGATAATCCTGGAGCTGTGATTATAACTTGTTCATCTGTCCTCCAGTTAGGGTGTTAGAGGAGTAATTTTACATAGCTCCTTCCACTAGGAAAGAATAGACGAGCAGGTTGGTAGGGAGTGAGCTCTCATTTAGTTCTAGGAAAGAGTAGTCTAGTTAACTAATGTGTGTTGAGCTTCCGTTAGCTATAGTAAAGTTATTCACCCCTTTTTGCATGTTCAGGACATGCTACACCTGGAGTCAGGAGATGCCGGTCACAATGGAGCAAAGCCCAACTCTGACTTAACCTACTAACTGACTTAAAAACTTTGGTATTGTGAGTACCTGGTGTGTCTTTTGTTTGTTTGTGTTTTGATTGTCGCACTGCACAGAGAGGCGCTGGTTTTCTTTGAGTTTGTTTCCTTATTCGTTTTTGAGGCCTGCTGTAAAACCCGGAGCAGAGTTTTTGTTTTGTCGTTTGAACATTGAATTGAAATGGACTGAACTGTGGAATGTGGGTATACCGGAGCGGACTTTTGCCGCAAGGAACTGAACTTTGCTTTACAAACAGATACTGTGAAACGTGCACACACATTGTGCACATTCATTTTGTTTGCAATGTGGTTGATACATGTGATAATATATATTATTGAAATTGCATTACTGTTTTGTTTGATTGTTTTGTGGCTCTTGCTTATGTCATATTTTGTGCAGGTTGACTATTTTTTGTTTGTATTTAATTTTTTTGTCAGACTTGACTCTGACTGGCACCCAAATTAAAACCTTGTCAAACCCACTACAAAACGGAAAAATAGATTGTCGAAAAGCTGAACGCAGGTGGCGTAAATCTAATCTCCAGATTCATTATGACATCTACAAAGAGAGAACATTTATAATTCACAACTGAGGAATGCAAGGCAATCTTTCTTCTCTGATATCATCACCAGAAACAATAATAATGCTCATGCCCTGTTTGCTACTGTGGACAGGCTAACAAACCGTCCTGTGTCAATAGCAGCTGAATTTCATTCTACCAGGGCCTGTAATACATTTTCCACCTTCTTTAGTGAAAAAATCCAGAAAATGAGGCAAACTGTCAGTAACTCATCATCAGAATCAGGATATGTGCTGTGTCCATTTAAAACCAACTTAAGCACCATGACACAATTTAATCAAATCAACCTCAAAAAACCTGGAGGACATTATACAACAATTAAATTCCTCCTCCTGCTGTCTTGATATTCTGCAAACAGGTTTTTCCAAAAAAGTTTCCCAAGTCATGGCTCCAGATCTGTTACAAATTGTAAACCTGTCTCTTCTCTCAGGTGTCTTCCCACAGGCCCTGAAAACAGCACTCATCAAGCCGCTATTAAAAAAGATCAATCTAGACAAGTCAATAATGAACAATTACAGGCCGATATCAAATCTTCATTTTTTAAGTAAAATAATCGAAAAAGCTGTTTTTCAACAGTTAAATAACTTCTTGACATTGAGCGACTGTTTCGATGTCTTCCAGTCAGGTTTTAGACAAAATCACAGCACTGAGACAGCTCTGGTTAAAGAGTTTAGTGACATCTGTTTAAACACAGACAGTGGCAAAAGCTCAGTCTTAGTTTTACTTGATCTCAGTGCTGCGTTCGACACAGTTGACCACAATACATTACTCGACCAACTGGAAAACTTGGTGGGAGTTTCTGGCACAGTACTAAACTGGTTTGAATCCGACTTAAAGG